GCGGCGCGCGCAGTCCTGCGCCTGAGGCCTGCGGAGATTAACGGTGCACATATTCGTTTGGGCATGAAGATTCCCGTCGACACTGCCGGGCAGCAGTGAAATACGCGCTGATTGAACGGGATCAAGCCGCGGCTACATAAGCACATGGGGCCCATTGTCTGTTCGGGGGCCGGTCGAACCAACCGAAAGGCCGTTGCATCACGCGTCACGTCGCTTTCCATCAGTAAATGAAAATGCATCTACAGCGCGCGCGTCGTTCTCGAGGAGCCCAGCAGCATCTTGCGATGGCCGCGCTCGCTTGGCTCACGCGCTCCAAGGAGGCAGCGGGCAGCGAAACGAAGAGCGCGCCGTGTAATAATTCAATTAAGCGTCTGCGATCGAAAACCCAAACAACAGGAAAGGACGACAAGAGGCAAGAATAACTATAAAAAAGAAGAGGCGCCAACTAAACATGCCGTCTGGTTTGCGCCACGGAGTTCCGACGGCGACTGTTTTGCAGACAAAGACCGCACTTAGCTGAGCAGATTCCCCCCACACGCATATACACGCACGCACACACTCTCTCACACACACACACACACATACATACACACACACGCACACATGCACACACACACACACTTTTTGGCGTCGCGGCCGTCCCCGCGCGCGGCGACGGGGCGTAGAAAGTCGAGCGCAAACTGCAGAACGCGCGCGAAGCCATAACGATCCGGGCCTGGATGGCGGGAGGGGCATTGAGCGGACGAAACTGCGGCGAAGGCGGAAAGGGCCAAAAGCCAACCCGGACTGGAAGGCAGGGAGAGCAATTCCGAAAGCGCACCGACCAAGTAGCGCGTCAAGTAGCGACGGCGGGGAGCGAGCTGGAAGCGGCGGAGCCGAAAAAAGTCGCAGGCCCAAAGAGCCGCGAAAGCTGGCTGGGCACGGCGGCGGCCGAGGGGCGGCCCCTGAGGAAGCGGCCCGCAGGCCCCCAAAGAGGGGGCGCCGGGAAGGGAAGGGGGGGGTAGAGGGAAGCGGAAGCGACAAACGGCGGGGAGCGGCGCAGCGGCCCCGGGACCACGGAGGACAGGGTTGGACCGCGGCGGCAGCACAGAGGCCGCAGCGGGGAGGGCCGTGCTGGGCAGGGACCGAGGCCGCGACGCCCCTGGCAAGAGGGCGCGCTGCGGCCCAAGCCCTGCGGGCCCTGGGAACCACTGGGATCGCAGAGCTGGCCGCTGCGAAGGGTGAGGTCAGAAGCTGGAAAAAATGATAACGTCACCAGTTCACCACCACCTAACGCCCCAATCGTCCCCGCGGGGACAGGCGCCCGCTCTGCGAGGGCAGGGGTCACGGGAGGGCCCCCGAGAGGGCCTCAGCAGGGGCCGACGGCGGCAAGCAGAAGCGCGCTACGCCCCAGAGGCCGGGGCGCTCTGGGAGCTGAGGCGCGCTCGCAAGGCCCAGCGGGGCTCAGAGGCTGGGCGGTGGGCTCGCGCGGGGAAGCCCTCGACGATAGATGGCGCGGGCGGGCGCCGCCGCTCTGCATCGCCACGAGCACAGCAAAGTTCGGGCCTCGCGCGCCATGCCCGCTGGCGCGCCGCCGTTGCTGACGGCGCGGAAAAGTGCGCGGGCACCTGCGCCCGCGCAATGGCTTGGACAGACAGACCGTCTCCATGTAGAAAAATGATGCTCGAGAGCGGACCCTCGGTGCCAAACAGCGGCAGCGCGGCCAGGGGGGCGACGCCCATTGCCAGAAAAACGGGCGCTGGCAATAGCGCATTAAGCTGCGTTGCGGCACCCCGCACCCCAGCTCACAAGTCTCGCGCCCGCAGCTTCCCGACACGCGGCGCCCAGGCCACCGCGACCGGAACGCAGCGGATTGCACCCGCCGAGGGCAATGCGATGCCACTCTCTGCTTTCGCCCAAAGGCACAGCGCGCCATTATCCCGGGCGTCCCTGGGAGACCCCATTTGGCAAGCTCCACTCTCAGACGGGGCTTCGAGAAATTGCAGCGCCGCTCAGCTGCGAGTCAGATGAGCTGCTGTGCAACGGCCTGGAAAGACGACCCCATGTGCCCCGCTGAGGCGCCCCGCCCCAGCCAGGGGCTCGCGATTCCGCTTGAGAGAGCACAGAGAACAAAAAAACGACGCGGGCGCCCCCCCCCCCCCACCACCACTCAGCCGCAGTTCTGCAAGCCCCGAATCACGTTCGCCACAACGAAGCTCAATTTTCTCAAGGGCCCCCAACTTGGCCGCATGAGCAACCCAGGAGCGGTCCACGAACTGCGCCGGGAAAGACAAAACGTCGGCGAGGCGCGCCAAGTCCTCTGACCGGCCTACGAGCCCGGCCCCAGGGCAAGAGCACATAAGACTTTCCTGAAGTTGCCGGCTGCGTCGCCACCGTCTGCCTCCGGCTGCGTCGCGAAGGAGAACGCCGGGGGGGCGCGGATTTAGACTGCACGGACGTTGAAGAGAGGCCCTCATTGAAGAGAGACGCCTACTACGATGCTCGAAATCAACATTAACCC